TAAACACGCAATTATTGATCAAATGGTTTGTAGATTATAGAATACTTTTAACTCGCTGAATTCATCGATCAATAATCTTATATACATTTATCATATTCTTGTTATCCCTTCCCAACATAATGATTAAGGATTTTCCTTTAGAAGTACTCCACCGGATATTCTGTTATCTCGATAACCGTGACACATGGTCAGATATATATAATCGACTGATTACAGAACAAATCCCTCTTGATTCAGACGAAAACGAGCCCATATGGCAATCACATAGGTCATCCTATCGCGATTTATACCATTGTGCACTGGTTAACCGCCAGTGGTGTCAGCGTGCAATGCCAATACTGTGGAATAGACCGTTTTTCCATTACGATACAGTAGACTCTGCAATGCCCAATGTTTTAAGAACGTACGTCTCGTTCTTAACAGACGCCGATAATTCCCTCCTCCGTGAAAACGACCTAGACGTTCCGTATGCTATTCGGCGGCCAATGTTTGATTATCCATCGTTTGTCAAACATCTTAATCTCTGGGAGTTAATAATGGCGTGCGAAAGCTGGCGTAATTGGGGAAATAAATTAGCGCTAGTGGTGAGGATCATGCTGGGACTGTTTAAAAGAAGAGGAATTGAATTGACATCGTTGTTATTGCCATTGGACATTTGGTATGAGGAAAAACATGAAGAAGCAATTTGTGTCATCGTCGAGGATGAATTCACGGAGATGATTGCTCCGATTAGATATTTAGAGATGTCGAAGCTGACTAATATAGGGAAGCTGGCATGTGGACTGGCACAAACATGTTATAATTTGGTAAGTACACAGAAGAGAGCTGTATGTTAACGATTACGAGTATTTACAGAAATGTTAGCAAAGCACGCTTTATACAACATTAACAGTAAACCTTATACTGTCCGCACATTACCTTTATACAGGAACATATAAATCTATCAGACCTCAAAGGCTCGTACAGCTCGCGATATGTCAACCAATTAATCAAATCCCAGAAACAGCTTATATCATTTTATATGATCAATGGTGCCTCACGTGTCGAGTCGTCTCTCTTTAATCAGGCAAAGTCTCTACGTGATGTGCGCTTACATAGTACCGACTTCCAGGATTCAGACGCATGGCATAGTTTGGCAACATTGACAATGCTGGAACGATTGGATATAGTCGACTGCGAGAACATAACAGTGCTTATGGTTGAGCCATTGTTGAACGAGACATTGCCTTATTTGAAGCAGGTCAATGTAACAGGAGGGAGAACGCCCAAATGTAGAGAATTGGAAGAATGGGCAAGGAGAATGTGCGTATGAGGTGGAGCTTATATTTCGACGAGACTTTTGTTAAGGACTTTGATAATATATGTTTATAGTGATTGTATTATTATTGTCGATTAGAATTAATAACTTAATTATTTTATAATACAAACCCAATAAGTACATTGGACATTAGAATAAATAACTATATACATTACTCACCTGTAAATTGATGGAACATTGTATTCGATAATATGTGAGGTTAATGGGAATATCTCAATAATAATAATGATTAGCAGCCTAAAGATAACCATTGAAACAGTTATCCAATGTCTTTACATTGTCGTGCACTTCTCGGAAACACAAGAGTCTTCGTCCACTTCATTCACTGTATCAACCTATTGCCACTAGTGAGCAACATGCCAAAAATCGTGTTGAAATTTTTTCCATCAGGCGAAGAAGCTTGTTTCAATGTCTGATATCGTTTGAAGCTGAATAGACATCATTAAGTCTCTCTTGCGACAGCATCGAGAACGATTTTGCAGTAATTGTCTCCTTCCAAGTCAATGACGATGCCTTTCAGGCCCATGGAAAAAACGGTGATTGTTCACACTAAAGTCAGTAATATGCTTCATTGAATATGCTTAAAGCACTCACACTGATACAAAAAACAACGTAGATTATCAACTGTGCTGGTTATTCATGGTCATGTACAAGTATTATTATGAATGCGAGAAAATAACGCGTAGTCAATGGGCAGAATGAAACGTAATTTGCTGGTTCCCTTCAACGAAACGCGACGACAAGGAATGGCGTAATCAAAATGACACATGGATAACAAACTTTTGCGTTTACGAATTGAATAAATTTGTCTTTGGTATAATGTTGACTAGGTAATGGGAAGCATAGCGAATGCCACTCTCTTTAATACGGAGACTATCATATAACAGAAATAGAACGCGCAATAAAGAATTACAACTAAAGAAAATTATCAAGCGTTTTGTTCTCTCACTAAAGACGAGATTATGTTGGCTATCATTGATTTTACAGTTTATTCTTCTTCGAATTCTTCGCCATCTTCGATTTTTTTATTCGACCCGGACTAGATTTTAAGAATAAGAGAAACCGACATCTTTATAATGTCATTGATAACAGTACAAACGTCAGCAGATCAAAGTTGTACCTTATCTGCCTTTTCATCCTCATATCGTTTCCTGTCAGTAACAGCCAATTTGGTGTAAGGCTTGATAGAAAAATTGTGTTAACGTTATTATGCTGTATAGTATTTTGTTTAAACACTATTATTATACAGTACATACGGTCTTTTCGGCTTCAGACATATTTCTCCACATCTCACCGAGAGCTTTTTGGGTATCACCTACAAACAAATAATGATAAGAAATATACGCACTTTGACTAACTGTCTTTTTTATCAATACCGTCTACTTCTTGCAAATGTTGATCGAGAGTGATTTTAATACATTACCAAGCTTCATCGATGGGTGCTGCTTCTTAACCTCCTCTCTTTTTTCACTGCAGAAATACAAAAAAGCACTTCGTGGTCTTTTTGGTTCTTTAGTCAATTTGTTGTCCGGTTTTGCTGTTTGTTTGGGCATAGTGCGAGCGGCCGGTTGTTTACGTGAATTCTTAAGAGCTTTAGGCATTTTTTGTTGTTTACGCTGTATAGAAATAATAAATTGACGCGTAGGTTGTTACGAGTAGTGAACTAGTCTTTAAAGTCGAAGATGAAGAACTATTATTGAAAATATCAGGATAAACTTTAAACGGTTGGGTGTTTAATTATGATGTGTATTCTGGGCGCGTAAATAAAGGGCAACAAGCATAACAAGAATTCAATGTTGGCTAATGTACTAGTATACATTTATGCGCATAATGAAAAATATGGAAATTTTATTAATGCATAACAGGTTCACGAGTAACAAATCTTTCGGCGCCATTTTAATTATTTGAAATTAGCCAACGGAGTTTAGACATAGTTTCAACACAATTAAAAACATTGATTCAAAACATCATCACAAGTTTTCTCTCAAAAAGAATAGACGACCAATTTTGTCACGAATAACCTAGAAAAATGGATTAAATTGCTGTCAATTTCTATACAGCATGTCAAAGGCAGATACTGTGTATCTATGCAGTGTATTGAACTTCAAGAGGGTACAGCGCAACTGTGTTTTGTTAACTAAATGAAACCAACTTAGCCCATTTTCAATAGTGTAATTAATAAAGATGTCATTCTAAACACACATACAGGTATTTCAACTAACAATAATCTCATGTGCGAGCTGATTTACATTTGAGCCAAATGTTCTTAGACGAAAAGATGTGAATGAGAGAAATTTTCTGACCCAGACCATAAGCCTCACAACGAACTTCGAGCTGCTTTGAACGCCTGACTGATGACCACATGTGCAAATAACTAGCGCTAGATGCATCGCCACTTTAGTCAGTGCGACGGTCGTATCTGCTATATCTTCCAACTCGTAGCACTAGCTCAAGGTCAGCGCTTGATAGCATACACCCAACGCTCCTAAAATACATCTAAGTCGTAGCCTGATCTCTTACAATCTCCAACAGCATTCATGGCATAAACTTTATATCAATCCAGCTTCCGCGGTACTACATCACTTATGCTAAATGTCTGAAACATTCGATATTTATTAGCCTCATGCGTTGGTTCTTTATCATGATCACAGTTTATTATTATCCATAATCATGGATTCGTTCGGGTTACTTTTATTTGTAGATATTTGATTTAGGATGCTTAAATTATACTTATAAACTAATTTATATAAATTTTTACCTTCTGCAAGCCAGCTGCAGAACGCTTGATTCTCGTTAGTTATACCTCGAAGATCAATTCCGTTTCATCGCTATTTCATCTTCTAAACATCTCATGCTCTTCGTCGACTCATTTCAGATATCTAGCCTTGACATACAATAAAGCCATGAATCAAGTTGGGAAACGTTAGAATCATAAGGTTTATAAATCGTATCTTTGACTCGTTAACCTCACATGATTATCAATGACCGAGTAAAACCAACCCGAGTGCCTCATCTGTTACAATGCATGAATCAAGTCAAGCTGTAATGCACTACTTACAAAATGACCAGTGGTAATCCTTTAGTTTTGTTCGCAGTATCATTTCCTTCTCTATTAATCCCTGGGATTTGGGAAGACATCGTTCCTGGCGACATTTTTGCTAAGTTTCGTACAAAATATATATGGCTTTCCACGAATATCGACTAGAATAATCGTGTGCGTGAACAATATATTTGTAATTCTGTCGGGTAGTTTTCCCATACATTTGATAATCGTTAATGCACGAATCGTAAAGCTTCCAGTATTAATGATGACATCGACGGTACATTTTTTAAACCGCTACATTGAAACATACTCTATTGTTTAGTTTTCATAATTATATACGTTAAGTATGACAAATGGGGCAGACTACAACAAAACCAGACAAAGTGAACATTCTATAAAATGATTATGATGTGGCTGTAAAATTGACCAGCATGACTGATGACATTTTGAAAAGTAAAATGGTGCTAATTCATAACTTATGGAGTTGTTAAATTTAATGTTC